AGGGTCATGTCTGATGCTGGAGGGTCATGTCTGATGTTGGAGGGTCATGTCTGATGTTGGAGGGTCATGTCTGATGTTGGAGGGTCATGTCTGATGGAGGGTCATGTCTGATGGAGGGTCATGTCTGATGCTGGAGGGTCATGTCTGATGGAGGGTCATGTCTGATGGAGGGTCATGTCTGATGGAGGGTCACGTCTGATGTTGGAGGGTCATGTCTGATGGAGGGTCATGTCTGATGCTGGAGGGTCATGTCTGATGTTGGAGGGTCATGTCTGATGTTGGAGGGTCATGTCTGATGGAGGGTCATGTCTGATGCTGGAGGGTCATGTCTGAAGTTGGAGGGTCATGTCTGATGGAGTGTCATGTCTGATGTTGGAGGGTCATGTCTGATGTTGGAGGGTTATGACTGATGCTGGAGTCTGATGTTGGAGGGTCATGACTGATGCTGGAGGGTCATGTCTGATGTTGGAGGGTCATGTCTGATGATGGAGGGTCATGTCTGATGCTGGAGGGTCATGTCTTATGTTGGAGGGTCATGTCTGATGTTGGAGGGTCATGTCTGATGGAGGGTCATGTCTGATGTTGGAGGGTCATGTCTGATGCTGGAGGGTCATGTCTGATGTTGGAGGGTCATGTCTGATGTTGGAGGGTCATGTCTGATGTTGGAGGGTCATGTCTGATGTTGGAGGGTCATGTCTGATGTTGGAGGGTCATGTCTGATGTTGGAGGGTCATGTCTGATGGAGGGTCATGTCTGATGGAGGGTCATGTCTGATGCTGGAGGGTCATGTCTGATGTTGGAGGGTCATGTCTGATGTTGGAGGGTCATGTCTGATGGAGGGTCATGTCTGATGCTGGAGGGTCATGTCTGATGGAGGGTCATGTCTGATGGAGGGTCATGTCTGATGGAGGGTCATGTCTGATGTTGGAGGGTCATGTCTGATGCTGGAGGGTCATGTCTGATGTTGGAGGGTCATGTCTGATGTTGGAGGGTCATGTCTGATGTTGGAGGGTCATGTCTGATGTTGGAGGGTCATGTCTGATGGAGGGTCATGTCTGATGGAGGGTCATGTCTGATGCTGGAGGGTCATGTCTGATGGAGGGTCATGTCTGATGGAGGGTCATGTCTGATGCTGGAGGGTCATGTCTGATGTTGGAGGGTCATGTCTGATGTTGGAGGGTCATGTCTGATGTTGGAGGGTCATGTCTGATGTTGGAGGGTCATGTCTGATGTTGGAGGGTCATGTCTGATGTTGGAGGGTCATGTCTGATGTTGGGGGGGGGGGTCATGTCTGATGCTGGAGGGTCATGTCTTATGTTGGAGGGTCATGTCTGATGTTGGAGGGTCATGTCTGATGGAGGGTCATGTCTGTTGGAGGGTCATGTCTGATGCTGGAGGGTCATGTCTGAAATTAAAATTAATTGATCTACCAAAAATTACAATCTACATCAGCTGTCAGTTTATTATTCTACACCATCACTTCACTATATTTCTTCTATTTTCAATATACTACATTAAAGCCACATTCTCTGTACACAAGCAATTGCAAACACACCACACTCACCGTAAAACTACCAAGCCCATTTTTTTTTTACAACAAAATCCTTCAAAAATATTCCCACCTCTATTACCACAGCTAAGCATTCAGCTTTGTTGGTAATAATACATCTGCCACAGCCCGTTTCGCCTTAAGTGGAGTCATTGAAAGCACAACATCTTTCAAGCTAAATCTATTCACTCCCAGTCCACACCAGGTCTTTGATTCTCCACCACGCTCAATCAGAGGCGTAGACTGCTGAGAAGCAGGGTGTGGGTGTAAGATGGAGAAGGTTAGTACGTCTCCTCGCCACATTCTCAAAATGACTACTGTATTACTTGAAGTTAGAAAATTTGGCAACAGCACGGACGTGTAGATGATATTTTCCAAATTATGTCATAAAAATCACAATTTCACGTTCTGAAAAAAAACATTTTGGATAACACAAGTACATACACACAAACACACACACACAGACACACATATGTGTGTGTATATATATATATATATATATATATATATATATATATATATATATATATATATATATATATATATATATTATAAATTTTAACCCTCCACCCTCGTAGCCGAAATTCTGACTATGCCATTTGATATGCAATTTTTACAAGTTTCTACCTGAGTGCATAAAGTGCTGTTTCTGAAGTGTTGACATAACCCTTCTTCTCTGGACGCGGTTCTATTCACTTCATTCGTTCAAGGGAGTCAATTCATCCATGTAGTTTTTACAAAATCAAATTAGTGAAATTGTTTGTTGGCAATTTTTATACATACAATCGCATACGCGTACACACACATTGAATACACACACACACACACACATATACATACATACATACATACATACATACATACATATATATATATATATATATATATATATATATATATATATATATATATATATATATATATATATATATATATATATATAAATTAAAACATCAATTATTTGTTACACACCAATTATCTGTTTCAAAATATGATAATCATCAATTTACAATTCAAAAGGTTAAAAGTATTACTTATGTTTTAAAAATTTTTAATTTGTTAAAAAATATGTGCTACAACTGCATTCAATTTGCATGTCATTCACAATAAGCTCGTAAACAAACAGTAGTACCAAGTGTTACTTGTTTACCCCACCCCGCAAAGCTAATCAATCGCAAAACGCGATCACACACTGCCAGCACTATTAGGATGTCTGTGATTGCCCCCCCCCCCCCCATCCTCCCGCCATTGTCACCCTACTTGATTTATTTGACTTTACCCCTTGTTAAGAGTAGGGCCTCATCCATTATGTTACACTTTGTCCGGTCCCCAGCTGTTAATTTTGGAGTCTCCCTAAAAGTCCACGCTGACTTAAATTCTTCTAGGAGACTCCGCTCTCTTTCCCTAAGCCCCTCCCCCTCCTTCTCCCCCGCCCACCCACAATAATCTGAATCTAACCTTTACTTCAAGCGCTTAAGAACGAATGATCTTATATTTGCAATTCAAATCGAAACACATTTTAATTTTAAAAAGTCATCGAGGTAGAAACAAATAAAACGAATGCCTTTGTTTTATTATGATTAATGGATCAAATAAACATAATTGAAACAAATTGCACGGATTAATATAACACACGATAGGAAATACTTTACCTGTAACAATGCACACAATTTTAATCTCAATCAATAGTTTTGGCATGTTGAATATCAAAGTCTAAAACAAATATTTGTGCCGATAATTTTAACAATACAAGGTTTAAGTTTGTATTAGGACAAAAACATTGCAATCACAAAAATAAATAAATCTGTATCTTGTTATTTTAGTAACACTATGTGTTAAATATTACAAAAGTACATTGTTTCTAAAAGCAAGAAAGCAAATATAAAACGAATTATGTCAAAAACAGTAAACCACAAAAATATATTATTATAGTATGTATTGGTTGTTTTCATAACAATGTATGTTAAATTTCACAACATTCATTTTTTTTAATGTAAGAAAAAAAAATATCAAGAAACAAATTAGGACAAAAACAGAAAAAAATATAGAGGCAACATTTGGATATATTAATAACAATGTATGTTAAATATCACACAAAATTTTTGTTTTAAAAAACATGAAAGTATATAAACAAAAGAATTAGAAAAAAAACACCTAGATCTAGTCTGTATTTAGTTAATATAAGTTAAATATTACATAAACGAGAAAAATGGCCCGTTGAGGAAGGATACACCGGGCGCTAGGTTGATAGTGCTGTCTCTTTTCTCTAAACTAAAACCAACCCACCCCCCACACCACACACCACCCCCCCACCCCCACCCCCCCACCCCACACACCACCCCCCACCCCCACCCCCCACACACACCACCCCCTCCACACACCGCCCCCCCCCCCACCCCTCCACCCCCCCCCCCTCTCCACCCCCACCCCCCCAAAAAAAAACATGTCTACCGTCCAATTCAACGAAATATAATTATATACTTTTTCCAGTGTCCGCCCCCTCCCAGAAAATTCTACCCCCGCCCCCGAAAATTTCAATTACCCCCCACCCCTCTCCGGGGAGGAAAAACTCTGAAAGAAACACTGAAACCAACCCACCCCCCCACCCCCCACCCCCCCACACACACACCACCACCCCCCCACCCCCTCCACACCCCCCCACCCCCAAAAAAAAACATGTCTACCGTCCCATTCAACGAAATATAATTATATACATATTCCAGTGTCCGCCCCCTCCCAGAAAATTCTACCCCCGCCCCCGAAAATTTCAAGTACCCCCACCCCTCTCCGGGGAGGAAAAAGTCTGAAAGAAACACTGAAACCAACCCCCCCCCCACACACACACCACCCCCCCGCCCCTCCACCCACCCCACACACACACCCCCCCCCCCCCCCACCCCTCCACCCCCCCCCCCCCCCCCCCCCCCCCCCAAAAAAAAACAACATGTCTACCGTCCCATTGCAAGAAAACCACTTTTAAGATTAGACACATTAATTAGGCGGTAATTTTATTATAGAGTATCGATGAGGAAATTTCTTTTGAGTTGGGGAGGGGGGGGGGCTCAGACGTTCTTACGCGGGGGTGGGGCTTCGCCCCTACCCGAAGAATTGTATGAAAGAAACTCTTCACGCAAACCACTTAGATTAGACCAAATTGCCTTTGTATTGAATATCGATAATCAATGACGTCATATCAATGTGTGCACTATCCGGCTTGAGATTATTTTCTACTCTGTGCGCTAAATGTGTCGACGTCATACTTCGTTTTTCGAATTACTATGCATGTTTTTATTTTCCTTGTGTTTTCTCTAGAGCGTTCTTGTCAGACAGATAGATAGATAGATAGATAGATAGATAGATAGATAGACAGACAGCGAAACTATTATTATAGATAGTGTTTTAAAAGCATGAAAACATTTCAACAAATAAATAAAAATAAAATACAGCAGCATATTTTTTTCAACAACATTGTATGTTAAATATTACAAAAATAAAAATAAATTGTGTTTTAAAGGCATGAAAACATCAACAAATACATTTTAAAAAATCGCAACCACTATTTTGGTTATTTCAACAACATTGTATGTTAAATATTACACAAATAAAATCAAAATAAATTGAGTTTTAAAAGCATGAAAACATCAACAAACGAGGCTGGAGTTTGTCAGTTCACGATGTATAGTTTCTAACTCACTAGTACTGTACTCATGCCCTGAGATCATTGAGCGAAAAGCACAACCGGACGTACTCAGTTTATAAAGAGAGAACAAAGGGCTGTGTATGATTGTAACGTTGGCCAGTACGGCACAAAATCCGGTCAGATAGACATCCTCTAGCCAAAAAAACGGCACCCTCATCGACGCCTCGTAAAGAAGTTTTGCGGCGGGGGTGGTTAGGGCGTACGCCGTTCCGGAAACGAAATTGGGATACACGCTTCCGTTGAAGCGGGAGTAGGGGACGTACCATTTGGAGAGTGGGTCCCGAAAGGGTTGAGAGTTGGGTAACGCTTGTCCCATGATGAAAGTATTGAACTTGACGTTGGGGTCGGTGTGTGCTTTTAAAGTCTGGACGAGGAGTGGGATGTTTATGTACATATCCGTATCGGCTTTGAGGATGTATTTCGCGTGGGGGCAGGAGGTCGTGACCCATTTGATTATAGACAAGGATTTGTAACTGAGGTTCCCGTAGCTGTCGATGTAGCTCTCCTGAACAATGTCCCTATACAATATGGCCTCCTTCTCGATGAGTCGCTGAGTCTTTTCATTCACCGACGTCCGGTTCTCCGACGTTCTGTTGTCTGTGCTCCCTCCCCTCGCCCGGCCGATAAAAAACAACAATGTAACATTGTTCCTGCTCAGCCAGGCGTTATCCCCCCATGTTTTTCTTATCACTGTCCTCTTTTCAAACATATCATGGCCGCTAGACACGCCTATCACTAGATCGATACTTCGATGCAAGCAATTTACATTAGGCTTAATCAAAAGATCGAACTTATGTGCATTGATGATTTGATTTCCAATAAACGGCCTTGATGCTACCAGCGGTTGAAAGAATAACTCGCTTATTTTTTCCACAGGCGGTTCTGTAATTTCTTCAATATGAGTTACGTTAGAGCTGTCTTGTTTCTGTGTGGGAAACTGACGTAGGACACTGTCATGGTGTGTTATGGGTTGTTTTTTGCTGCGGACTCCCAGGAAGGAGGCCTTGTAGGTGTGTAGATAGAATAGAAGGATTGTCAGACAACATGACAGGAGGAAACATCGCTTTAGCCATTTGGTTACTGAGCCGGATGACGGGGGCATTCTGCTGGGGAAAATAAAATTTACATAAATAAAATGTCGCTTTAATCACTCATGCGTTTCAGTTTTTTATCTTTAAATTTTCATAACTTTTATTTCTGAGGGTTTCGCCTAAGGGCTTGGAGTATGATTTTTTGTTAGGTAACATTAAGATTATGGTTAAGGTTAGAACCAAGATTTTGTTCAGTTTCTTCCAGGCATTTCTTCGGGATGGGGGGGGGGGGAAGGGGTAAATCTTGGTGGACCCCCCCCCTCCCCAAGATTTACCCCTCCCCCCAGAACGAAATAAAATTAAATAGAGAATATATACTTTTAACAGTGTCCGCTCCCCCCCCCCCCCGAAAATTTTAGTCCGCCCCCCCCCCCCCGATAATTTCAAGTGCCCCCCCCCCCCTCCCACCCGGAGAAAAAAGTCTGGAAAAAACACTGATTTTGTTTGGGTTAGTTTTAGGGCATGGGTTAGAGTAATAATACAGGTAAGAGTAAAACAATACACTTCGGTTACTTGTATTCCCATCTATAAAAATGGTCATACATATTTTATCCCACTCGTTTTACGATCAATAAATCAATACACATTATACCACCCTTTTAAAAATTCAACCCTTTCTATAGAATCATTTACAAATCTATTTCGTTTCTATACTCCTTTTTGAAATGCATATAACTTTATATCCACAATCATTTGACGTGTGTTAAAGAATTTTTTAGCAAGTCCACCGAAAAGGGGTGGTTTCATACTACACAATACACAATGCAACTATTTAACTTTAAAAATATTTAACCATGTTTAAAAATCAATGGTCCCTGTACATCTAGCCTGGGCCTAGACAAAAATACATTTAAGGAAAACCCATGACTATAGTAAACACGTAAAAGGAATGCAAACTACGATAGGATAAAAAAAAAAGATCCAGGAAATAGGTTTTAAAATTCTAATTTATACGTAGGTTCACTTGATAAATGGAACGTGGTTTAAAATATAGATGACCTACCGATGCAAGTTTCTTTTTAAATTTTACGAATGCCATACTTTGTCTCGTTAAAGCGCTTTGTATTACACCGTCTCCAGTTTTCTTTTGTTATTGATTGGTGTCTGAAGCTCTGACGGAAATTGTTCAAACGTACGGAAATGTCAGAGCACGGACAAGGACTAGTGAGCAGAATGTATTGTTCGCTAATTTTTTTTTTTTATCTTAAATGTCTTGTTATGCATGCCTTGTGTTGCAGGAAAATATGGATCTTGGTAACCTTAGTTTCAACCCGCGGCTAGAGATCGTGAATTTATGTTCGTAGTTTATTTAGGCATCTTTACGTGAGGATGGGGGGGGGGGGGGGGGGGGGGGGGCAGAGGCGTAGCGATGGGGGGGGACATATGTCCCCGGGCGCCGACCTTAGGGGCGCCAAAATGAGCTTTAAAAACAAATTAAAATGTCATTTTAGCTGCATTTTTTTAGTTTGACGGGGGGGGGGGGGGTGCAAATCGAAAGTTTGAGGGGGGTGCAAATTGAAAATTAGCTCCCAAGGGGGGCGCCAAATTGAAAGTTTGGCCCCGGGCGCTGGGAAGGGTCGCTACGTCTCTGGGGGGGGGGCTGCCACCTTGAAGGACGTATACTCTCTTCCCCAACCCCCCAATCCAAATAAAATCCTTCCATAGGAAATGTAAACCAACCCGTAAAGTTTCAAGAGCCCCCCCCCCCTCCGCCCTCCCACCCGTGAAAAATACCTCAAATGAACACCGTTTGTTATTCAACTTGACGGTGTGTAGAGAGGGCGCAGGGTTCTCAGGCTTGAAAGCTGGGGATCGTATCATAAGACTCCATGGTTTAATTAAGGGCGTGCGTCGTCTTATATAATGTCATCGTAAGCGCAGGTTCGACGCTTTTATACAATCTAAGCAGGATTAGGTTTCTATAGTGTAGTGCTTCTAAACCAAACATCGTCCTCTTTTATCATTGCACAAAATATGCCATAAAACTCTGACTAGCTTATCTAGATGTCAAGAATGTTTTATTACAACTAATATTTTTCTAACAGATAGAAAAGGTGTATATATTATGCATATTATGTATATAAAATATATTCGAAACATTCCCTTTAAAAACAAATTAAAATGTCATTTTAGCTGCATTTTTTTAGTTTGACGGGGGGGGGGGGGTGCAAATCGAAAGTTTGAGGGGGGTGCAAATTGAAAATTAGCTCCCAAGGGGGGCGCCAAATTGAAAGTTTGGCCCCGGGCGCTGGGAAGGGTCGCTACGTCTCTGGGGGGGGGGGCTGCCACCTTGAAGGACGTATACTCTCTTCCCCAACCCCCCAATCCAAATAAAATCCTTCCATAGGAAATGTAAACCAACCCGTAAAGTTTCAAGAGCCCCCCCCCCCTCCGCCCTCCCACCCGTGAAAAATACCTCAAAGGAACACCGTTTGTTATTCAACTTGACGGTGTGTATGAGCGAAGGTGTAGAGAGGGCGCAGGATTCTCAGGCTTGAAAGCTGGGGATCGTATCATAAGACTCCATGGTTTAATTAAGGGCGTGCGTCGTCTTATATAATGTCATCGTAAGCGCAGGTTCGACGCTTTTATACAATCTAAGCAGGATTAGGTTTCTATAGTGTAGTGCTTCTAAACCAAACATCGTCCTCTTTTATCATTGCACAAAATATGCCATAAAACTCTGACTAGCTTATCTAGATGTCAAGAATGTTTTATTACAACTAATATTTTTCTAACAGATAGAAAAGGTGTATATATTATGTATATTATGTATATAAAATATATTCGAAACATTCCCTTTTTACTTAGGGGTCATCCATAAATGACGTCACGCTTTTTTGACGATTATTACCTTCAACCAACCTCCGTCACACTACGACACCAAAAGCCAGACCCCCCCCCCCTCTAAAATGACGTCACACTTCAGCCGACAATCCCCCTTGAAATTGCATTTGGATTTGTTCTTAAAACATCGATATTTTTTTTTCAAAATCTTGTCTGAGTATTTTAATGAATTCCTACTACAATTTATTAAAACAGTTTTCTAAAATAAAATAACAACTAAAATTCCTTTTCTAGCATTGCTTTTTTCTAATGCAAAAGTGTGACATAACACCATCTGAACCCCCCCCCCCCCCTCTCCCCCTTCCCAACTCATCACACACCGTTACAAAACTAGGGACCCCCTACGAGTGTGACGTCATTTATGGACAACCCCTTATCAGACCTACTTTCTAACAACACAAAATTAAGTCGTCTTAGTTTACCCATACCATTTACACCATATTTCCCCCTAAAAACATAGCTTCGCCTATACTGGTGCCTATTTGTGGAACAATCTTCTTAAAAATATATTCAAAACAAAACTTAAAAAAACAAGTTAATTAAAAAAGTCTAGTGACATTTATGCGCAATTTCCTTATGTTATCTAAAAATAGCTCTGACGTATAATGCTGGGGTGCGTTCAAGCTAGAAGAACGATCGGTTTGTAGGTGTTTATGTAATTTTAAAATTTGTGCCCGAACGAGAGGATATTTTTGAAAACTTTCTTCGGCAATATTGTTCTAAATTATGGCAGAAATCGATTGGTACATGTTTCAAGTCGCTAAGTGGTCTGGTTGCCGAGATATGGGGAAAAAAAACTGCATTTTTTCGACGTTTTTTGGCTTTTCCGGGAAATACATGAAAGAAACCCGGAGTTTTTATGGCCTATGCTCATCCTCGTAACTTGCTTAACATAATTGCTTTTGGAACTAGTCATCGATATTGCTTTGTTAAGGAGGAGATACGACTTAAAGCTGCGGACACACATCCATCCATCCATTCATTCATACATCCAGAAATGACGGGTTAATAAACGCAATTCTCCAGAATGGAAATTGCGCTAAAAATACCAACTGTTTCATGACCTCTAAAACTGATTCAACGCATCACTTGTCATTTATCAATTCTATTCTAATTCTATTATACAATGTATAATAGCTGTGTCTTTATTTCCATAAGCCGGGTACGGTCTTGGCGGGCGTCGTGGTATCGGCGGGATGTCGTCTTACACGACGGGTGTCGTATTTCAGGGCGGAATTACTAGCAGAGCTTCTTTTGGGCGACACCCCCCCCCCCCAGGGCTACCGACTCCACCCTTCGTACGAATTAGAATTTATATACAAAATATATAATTTAGTCCACCCCCCATCGGTAATTTAATATAACCTCCCGAAAATTTCAAGCGCCCCCCACCCCTTTTTGAAGAAAAATGTCTAAAAGAAACACTGATTACTATTTTAACTGATCAAGTGATAATGAGCTGTTTTTTTTTCTCCTGATTTTTTTACTCTTCACGTCGATTTGAGCCGAGTTAATAAAAATGTAAAAATTAAACAACGGTCTTCGCCATTTTGTTTTTAAATAGACCAGTTTTCAGTCAGTTTCCACCAGCCTGTCGATCGTTTTAAATGCCAATTTAATGCACACATGTGCACCATTTAATGTATTTACGACTGGGTTTAGGGCCCCTTCGACTTCCGGGGCAGCACGCCTATTCTGCCAGTTTTTTTTTTGTTTTTTTTTTGAATTGGATTATCCCTTCGCCACAGTAGCGGCAATAAAATTTAGTTTTAACACGGAGATTTAAAAAAAAAATCTTTTTATGCCACCAAAGACCGTGCTTGTAGGCCTAAGTTTAAGGTTTCAATACAAGCAAACAAACGGTTGTAAGAAGTGAAACATGTAAAGGACGAGTTGGAATGGCAAATAGAATGGCAAATAGAATGGCTAATGGTATGGCTAATGGAATGGCAAATGTAATCGCAAATAGAATGGTCAATGGAAAGGCAAATGGAATGGCCAATGTAATGACCAATGGAGTGGCCAATGGAATGGCAATTAGAATGGCCAATGTAATGGCCAATAGAATTCCCAATGGAATGGCAAATAATAATTCAAACTTCCTTACTAAGTAGTTGTCATCGCGTTTTTAAATAAACCGGGAGTGATCTCCCCTAAACTT